TAAATAAGCCTAAGCCAAATTATACTTATACTTTACTGGCTTATATAATGTTTAAATATATAAAAGATATTTAGCGTTGTAAAGCTTAAAATTGCTTATATTTAACTATTAAGAATATTGCTATACTTATATTTAGCATAATGCCTTAATATTATTAATAAAAGTATTAATTTTAAATAATAAATATCTTTGCTAATAAATAGTTTTTAAAATTAATATAAATATTAAAACTGCTTATGCTATTAAAGAAGTTATAAAGAAAGGCTTAGTTTATTAAAAAGGTATAATAAGTATGCCTCTTTTCGCTATTATTAATAGCTAAAGTTATTATAATGCCGGCAGCTTTAAAATTAAAATCTTTAAAGCTAATAAGGAATATATTAAATTTATTATTATTAACTTATTATTTAATATCCTTATATATATAAATATATATAGCTTTAATATATTATTAATCTTTAAGTAAATAATTTATTAATTAATATCTTTCTTTATAATATATAAAATACTTTTTCTTTTTATATTATATATTATTATTATTACCTTTATTAAGCTAATATTTACTATTATAGCTACCTTTATAAGGTCCTTTATTATAGCCGCTACCTTTAAATTAATAAAGTTAGCTTAAGTAGAAATTAAATTAAAAGCCATTACCCTTAAAAGAAGGTTAAGGATACCTTAAGCGCTAATTATTATTATTATATTACTTATTAAGATAATATTGCTCTTTAATATTTATAATAGCTAAATTATTATTATTTTAATTATTATAACTATTAACATAACTTTATTTATAAGCTTATTAATTATTTCCTATAATTATATATTATAATATAAGGTTTTAAGCTTTTAATGCCTTAATATATTATTATAAGATAAAGTAAAGTTGCTTAATATTTATTAATATTATTAAAATAGCATAATGAAATTTAAAAATGCCTTATATTACTTATAAAATTATATTTTATAAAGGGCTATCTTTATAAATAATATACTTAAGTGCTTTATAGCAAAGCTATATCTTATTAATAAGCATTTAAAAACTATTTATATAATTCTTATTTAAGTTCCTTTATTAAAAAATAAAGAAAGTTAAAATATTTTAATTTATAAAATAATTATGGTAATTATTATTTATATTAAAGCAATTCTTAAGTTTCTTATATACTTAAGTAAATAAATTCTTTTAATTAATAACTTAAGTATAATATATCTTTGCTAATTCTTTAAGTATATATAAAAAAGCTATCTTAAATTATTAAAGCTAAATTTATAAATTGCCATAAGCTTTATTAAAAAGAAAAATCTTATTATTAAGAATATTATATAATTCTTTAATAAATATTTTATTTTTATAATAATATTTGCTTAAATTAACTATTATATTTAAGTTAAGTAAAAAGTTCTTTATTTTTATTAAAGGCAAAAGGATATAATAATTATATGCTATATAAAAGTTATTAACTAAAGGAAGGTTATTGCCTTTTCTTAATAGATTAAAAGGTTTTAAAGGGCTACCACTATCTTTACTATTATTATTAAGTAGGCTAAGTAATTTAAGTAATTTAAGATTAAGAGAATCATTATTATTAAGTAGTTTCTTATCTTTTATTAAGGCATAATTAAAGTTAGGAATAACATAAATACTTAAATTATAATTCTAAATTTAATTAATTTTAAATATAATGCAGTATTTTCGCTTTTAATTTGCTAGCTATTTAAAATAATTTAATACTTTAAGAATATATATAAGTTCCCTTAAAGTATTTACTTCCTAAATATAAATGCCCTTAACTTAAAAAGTCTTCTTAATAATGCACAGCAAGTCTTTATTAACTTGCATAAACATTAGCTTAGTTTAGCCATAAAAGTCCTTAATAAATGCCTTATATGCCTTATTACTTAATATATATACCATAGCTTAAATTTAGCCCTAAATATAGGTATTTAAGTATTATTTGCTATTAAGAAATCTTAAGGAATTTATTTATACTAAGGGATTAAATATCTTAATAATGCTTTTAAGTATAGGAATATAATTCATTATAATTAATATTAATGGACCATTTTAACCGGCAGTATTACTTATTATATTTACTATCTTATTATTTTAATAAAGTAATAATAAAGGTATATTTAATTTAGGAAAGAAAGTAGTAAAAAGGGGAAATAAGTAATATTAAGGGAAAAATAAAAAAGTTAAGGGTTACTTTTATAACTTAGCCATTAAGAGGCAAATTAATTCCTTTCTTTAAGTTTATTTATATAATAAAATATAAATAAATATATTATTAATAAAAATAAACATTAATTTAATTCTTTTAATTATAGCTATTAAATTTAAAAGTCGTTATTAATATTGCTTAAAGCATAATAAATATGCATATATTAAGGGTAAGGGAGTTCGCTATAATTTCTTATTATAATAATTACCTCTTTATACATTAAGTATTATTATCATTATAAACTATGCTATATAAATTTATAATGTTAATAATATTAATTAGCATAATTAAAAGGTTATTTCTTCAAGCCTTGCTAATTTATAATTACCTTTATAACTATTAATTAATATTAGCTAGGTTATATATTATAATATAACGTTTAGTTAGTATAATGGTTAATCATTATTAACTATAAAAGGAAGAAAGGCAGAAGGCCTAACTATGCTAGCTATTTTATATGCAGCGCCAGGGCTGCTGCCTGCCAGGCATCCTAACGGGTTAAAGCTGCCTAGTCTTAAACAGTCCTCCATACAAACAACACCCATTATTCCCACAAATAATAACTTTTATTTATTTAATATTAATAATAATTTAATTATTATTAATAATAAAGATAATTAAAATTAAGCTAATAAAACCTTAATAAAAATTGCAAAAACTACCTTTAACTTTACTTTTATATTAAATATTAAAAAAAGTAAACTGCTTATTAAAATTAACTTTTATAAAATTATTAAAATTAATAAGCTAAAGGCTATAATTATAACCTAAGTTAAAATACTTTTCTTAAATAATATTATTATAATAACTATTATTTAAATTATTAATAACTTTTAATATTAAAATAAATAAATATTTTTTAATAATATAATTAAAAAGCTATATATTTATATTAAAAGCATTAAAACTTTTAATATAAAACTATATAATATTTTTAATAATAAAAATTATTAAAATAATTATTATCTTAAATGCTAAATTATTATAATTTTTATAATAAATAACTTAATAAGAATTTTAATTTTAAATATCTTTTATATATATTAAATTAAAAAGATTTAACTATTAAAAGATTAAATTATTATGCTAACTTAACTTTAAAACTTTTTATATTAAATTATTAATAAGTATATATAAGGCCTATATATAAAAAGATTTATTAAAAAATATATATTATTACTTAAGTAATTTAAGCAAAAAATAACCATTAAAAAGATTAAAAAAATAATAAAAAGCAAGAAAAAAAGATAATAAATAATTAAGCTACTTATAATGCTTAATTTTAAGAAAATAAAAAGTAATTAAAAAAAATTAATTTAAAGCAATATTAAATATATTTTAATAATAAAAATAAAAATAAAAATAATAATATTTATATTATAAAAATATATAATAAAAATAAATATAAGCTAAAAAGTTTAGCATTAACTTTATAAGCATTAATTTCCCTTATAAAAAAGAAATTTAAAATTAAAATTATTATATAAAAATTAATAATTTTTATAAAAAAGCAATCTTAAAAGCTAAGTATTAAGAATAATAAGTATAATATTTAAGAAATAATATAATAATAATAATTATAAGTTTAAAAAGTAATATAATAATAAAAATTATTAAAACTTATTTAAAACCTTATAAGTTATAATTTTAAGCCTTTTTAATAATGCTTTTTTATAATAAAAATTATATATACTTAATATATAATAAATTATAATTTTAAGCTAATTATAATAAAAATTATTAATTATAATAAAAATTATATATACTTATTAAAAAAAAGAAAAACTATAAGTATTAATAAGTATAACCCTTATATTTAAAGGCTACTTTAGTTATCCCCTTTAAGGCATATAGCCTTTTAAAACTTAAGCAGAATAACATTAATATATAATTACTTCCTATATAATTATCGTACATACAAGAGACCTACCAACAAGGACAGTCTCCCCTGGATGATTGTTTTGGAATGACTTTAGACAGTGAATCTATAATTATTATATATTGAACATAGAGATGAATCTTGTTAGATACTCCCCGTCGGACGCATAGACAGCACCCAAGGTTGACCTATCTTTATAACTTATCTAAAATACATTTTATTCCGTTTCCCTCCGTGATAAATTGACAGAGCCGCCGTTTCTGCATGCTCAAAACAGTGCAACATGACACATCATCAGATATGTCTTTTTTGCTGCATAATGATGACAACCACTGATTTCGTGTACGGCTTGTTCATGGCACACGGAGCAGGACTTAAGCATGACAAGAATAATACCGACCGCAAACATCTGCAGGCGGCCGGTCCTTGTTTGGCGGGCTGATCTGAGAGGTTGAATCGCATGGCCAGACAAGCCGAGTGGAGGGCCGGGTGGAGGGCGGTCTGGCTACCGGGTTCACCAGCCGCGTTCGGCCCCGCAAGCCGGCCTCTCTAGCTCGGAGACAAGCTCGGAGGAGCGCCTGGTGTGCCCACGAGCTTGTCCCACGAGCTCGGATATCCGAAGCACTGATCGGCAGTGACCGAGTTCCTGTTCTGTGATTCCTCGGATGTCTTCTTGGTCACTCAGACTAGAAGCTTCGCAGGCCTGACGTGCTTGTCACTGAAAGGGTGTCAGGATTTAGGGCGGCCCACCACTTCCCCGAGTGTCAGAGACATTATTTAAAGTCGGATATGCGCTCTGGGCCCATGCAGAATTGAAGCAGCAGCTTCAACATTGTCGTGTGCCGATCGATTTCTTAAAAGAATTAAATACTAGAAATTAAATCAGGAACAAAATGCAGGAGAACGTGGCCAAGCTCTACCCAAACCCGGAGACGTCCGCCAAGGTATTGGACTGTAAGTGGCTGGCTTTCACAGGCACACACTGGTGAGGTTTCATGTGCGCGATACTCACGAGAATCCAGACTCCATCTCCAAGTCGACTAACCTGCCGGACTGGCTTCTCAAGTATCATGAGTGGGTTGCAACAACACAGAGGTCCCCAGGTATCTGATCAGCACCTATGAGGCACAAGCGCTGGTCTTCCTGTCGAGGCTGGTGGGCGCGAAGCGAGGTATGTCTCTTTGAACAAGTGCTTTTTCCCGTCCCCTATTGCACTTTTCCAGTTGGCTGACTACTGGGCTTATATAGTTCTTGAGATTGGAGTCTACATAGGCTTCAGCGCCATGGCCTGGTCTCATGGGGTGGGCAAGGACGGGCAGGTGGTCGGGCTGGAGCTCAGCGAGAAGTACGCCCGCATGGCGGGCAAGGCCTTCAAGGACAACGGCGTCGAGAATGTCGACATCAAGATCGGCGACGCAGTGGAATCGTACGCGCAGCCCCTCCCCCACCCCCCTTCACTCAAGTCACCGGCCAGAATGTGCTGACGATCGGCTCTCTCCAGCCTCGCCTCCCTAGAGTCATCAGAGCCCTTCGACCTGATCTTCCTCGACGCGAACAAGGACGCCTACCCCAAGTACCTGGAGCTGATCCTGTCAAAGTCAGCGCCAGGCAGCCCCCCGGGGCGCCGGCTCCTCAAGGCCGGCGGGCTCATCGTGGCAGACAATGTGCTGCAGCAGGCCACCGTCGCCGACCCCACGCCGTCGAACCCGAACTACGTGGAAGGTGTGGCGCACTTCGGCGAGCAGCGCGTCCGGGAGCTTAACGCGGCGCTGCACGAGTTCAACGACAAGCTCGTGGCCGAGCCGCGGCTCGAGGCGTTCCTCGTGCCGCTGTTCGACGGGCTGGGCTTGGCTAGGTTGCTTGACTGAGCGCGACGGGTGCCGAGAGCGGACAGGGCAGGGCAGGCGTTGAGCTAGAGCTGGATGCAAGGGGTTCTCATAAAGAAGGGAGCCCCGCTGTTGATGACGGCGTCACGACACAAAGTTACATCATCTGTGCGCACATCAAACCAGATTTGGTATCATGCTTCTTTGACGTTAGGGCTCAGCTAGACGCGGTACCTGAAATACAGGACTGAGTTCACAATCTCCTTTCCTCCACGCCTGGCGACTCGGCATCATGTTGCCACTCATGGATGAACTCCTGCAGAGACTTTTCCTGGGCAACGAGGATGTCTTCTTCGTCGGCTTGGGGATGGGAGCTTTCCGGTGAAGAATCAATCATCGGCGGCCTGCCGATGATGATGTACGAAGTCTCTCCGCTGCACGCCAGTGAGGATGTGGCGTTGCCTTCGGCGGAGGCCTTAAGCGGGAAGATTGCCTCGAGTTTCATAAGAGTGGGCGAGGATGGAGCCGGGCTGCCCGAGTCTCGGCTCGAGGCGACGGGAATGATCCTGATGTGCCACTTCGGGGGCGAAGGTTGATTCGGTGCCGTAGTTTCGCCTTTCAAACGCTCGTCCTCGATCTTCTGCGGCCTCTTCAGGACGGCATCCGAATTTTGGTGAGATTTGGGGGTTCTGGAACGAGCAGGTGAGCGCTGCGGTGACTCATGGACGGGTGTCCTGCATCTTCCTGACTGGTCATGTCTCGGATTTTCTGCATTCTGCTGAGGCACACGGGTTTCCGTTGACGCTTCCACTAGTGACTCCTGACCACTGTGCACAATCATACTGGTATTCTTTTGTTGGAGAGATGGGCGCAGCAGTCTTTTGGGTGCATTTGCGTTGGACAGGAGTTGAGGCAACGAAGTTTGGGCTGCCAAGCCATGCTGGACCTCGTCAGTTGATAAAAGACTACTCCTATTGCTCGGTAGCTCTGCAAAGCGGGCAACGGCAGAACTGCCTGGCGCATTGTCAAGAACACACAAGTCGTTATCCGATGTCTTTCCTTTCTCCACAACGGCATCAAGGCTGACTGCGAGAGACCCGGGCGAGAAAGGTTCTTGGACCGAGGATGCTGGGCTCTGGCTTTGGCTCTGGCTGTCTTCGCTCTCGTCGAACTTCAAAGCCTTCCTCCTTTTGAGCAGCCTAGAGCGGATATCTTGTCGGTGTCCTCCTGTAGCATCGGAATTTGACCTCCTTCGCACAATGATGCACTCGTCTGGCAGGGGGCATCCCTCATCCTCGGCGATCTCGCCGGCGAGCGTGAGTGTCTGTCGAAGAAGCTCCTCTAGGCGTTCGTACCTGTCAGAGCCTCCATCCTCGTGATCGGGGTATGATTTGCTCATTTTGAACATCTGTTACAAGAACTGTCGACATTGGATTTTAGGTGTGTAGGTGCTTTCGTTTCAGTGAAGTTGGGCTTATGTAGACGAGCGTTCATCGCTCGTGGTGTCAACATCATGCAGCAGCAACATCGCTGTCCTTCCTCCACAGCAAAAGCCCAGACGACTTTCCTTTCAAAACAACACGCACCTTCCCCTTGCTTGGAGTTGACCAATCAATGGTCGAAGGCAGCGGATTCGGACCTTCCTTTCCGCTCGGAAGAGGACTGGCAAGTCTGAAGCACCAGTATCACCTTCCCAGAGCCTCCCAATCACACGCCACTGCAAATTGGCCCAGGTCATCCAGAGTGATATCCCACATGGGCTGGGACATCGAGACCGCTCCGCCGCGATTAACAGCGCTCCTGCCACGGAGTCCGGTCACGCGACCATCCCCAGCGAGTAACACCTTCCCAGGGATGCTCTCATCCTCGACTGCAGTATCGAGTCGCCGAGCGGCAATGACGTGCATGCCAGGGGCTGACATGGCGTCGTCAGCGACCACGTCAATGCTAGACCCGGCAGGTCTGTCATACTCAGAAGCGCCCTTGACCTGAACGAGCCAGTCGCGCACTTCAGCTGCAAGGCCACCGGCGACGTATTTGGCGCCGCGGCGCTGGGGGGAGAAGGCCTCAGGTAGTGGACGCTGCTGGACTTCTGCAGTAATTTCGGCTGTCTTGAAACGCGGCGCGTTGTGGAATGTTGGATGGCGAGGAGGTTGCTCTTCTGCCGCCCGAGGCGATTGCGGTTGAGAGTCCGCCGTGGACTTCTCGCGGTCGAAAGAAGATTGGACCGCGATCCTGTCATCAAACACAGGTGTGCTTGAGACCTCTGGTTGTTCGTCATCCTCCATGGGTGCATCGCGTTGGTATTCATCAGGGCTGGCATCTATCTCCGGGGACAGAGAGACCCGCCGGCGCTTTGCTGGCCTGCTCGTCTGGAAATGGCGAGACGGAGACCTGGAGGCCGACAGCGAGTCGACCTCTATGGACTCATCGAGCCGGGTGCGGTGCTCGTCACCATCTTCGTCCGCATCTGGGGATATGGGAGAGGTGTCAATCACGTCGCTCAGGGGCTCATGCTGCGTAGCACGAGGCCTAGCCGAAGATGGCAGCGGCGTTGAAAAGGGCGGTGGCTGCTGTTGAGAGACTGGCCTGGGCGTTGCGGAGGTGTTGAACCGCGGGGTCGAGGCGAATTGGCGCGGGCCGTTGTGCAGGGACAGAGGCACTTGCCTCCCTGTCTGAGGCTGCTGGCCCTTCTTGGGGGGCAAGAATCGCGATTGGGCTGGTGTCTGGACATGATTTAGCCAAGTCATTGTTCGTCTGGTGCATGTGGTCCCGTGTGGGTGAAACTGACCGATGGTGGTGCCATTTCCCCAGAAGATGTTGTAGCTCTTCTCTTGTGCAGGCGATATCTAATGTTTGATCAATCGTCCTTGAGCGTAAAACTAATCCGATCTGGCGGCGCGCACTGAAAGATCGGCTCCAACGTGGTCAAGGTATCCAGAGCAGAGCTGCCTATGCGACTGCCTGCTTGTTGGACGAAGATGTGGGGGCTGGCCACCCGCGGCGAGCTGCTCCTCGTTCGCCGATGCCAAAAAGAATGATCAGGACATTCCATCTTCTTATCAATCCCGACGTAGTGCCATCACCAGCTACGTTGATGATAATCGAGGTTACAAGATGGCGGTTACGGTACTACGGCCAGGTCACTCTCTCGGTTTCGATGACGACCATGCTTAATCAGCAGCCTTCAACCACCACTCCGATCAGCTTCGACCAAGCCAGTCTCACCTTATTTCCTAGAGTACACCCATGCCAATTTTGAACATTTGGTAGAGCTTGTATAGCCTCCAAAGACTTGTAGCAGTCAGCGAGATGACAGTTGCTGGACGATGCGAATTTGCTCCAGCTTTTGGGCATGATTGGGTAACGAGCTTGACGAGGCTGACGTCAAAGAAGCCTTACTGCATGCATGGCACTGCGGAGTCATGGTCTGCCATCGTTCCTGAATTAGACTACCTTCTGCTGAAGAACACTGCCATGTTGATTCTTTTTCTTCCTTCCTCCCTCAGACCGCAGGGCCAGAATGTTTATCCCAGCCCATTTTCGAAGTGCATAAACCCAAGATTGTCCTCAAGTCACAGTGCACAGTAAGTAGTATGCTCTCTCGGAATCGCGCCAAGTTGCAGGTGAGCTTTCACGTAGTCCTACACACTCAAAAAGACTGTCTCCTTCCCTGACTCAATTAAGAAAAACAATCGGTGTCAGCCTCGAGAAATCACTGCCAGAAGCAGGCAGAGCACGTCAGTCGGTACCACTCCAACCTGTATGGCGAGCCACTGCCTTGTCAACGCCAGCTCCGCCAGCTCAACGCCTCTGCTTCTTCGTCTTCTTGCCGCGCGACTCGTCTTCCTCAGCGGCGTTTTCGCGGTCTCGCTTCTTGGCCTTCCGCTCCAGCTCATCCCAATCTTCGCCCTCGTCCTCGTCGCTGGCCTCCTCGTCACTAGCCTCGGCGGAAGCGTTGGAGTCGAAGTCCGAATCCTCTTCGCTGGATTCGGAGGCGTCCTCAAGCTCGCTATCATCAATCTCGAAGTTGCTCTCTTGCTCCTCCTCGTCCTCGCCGTTCTCATCGTCACTGTCATTCGCAAGGAACGACCAGCCACCGTCAGCGAAGAATTGGTGTGTATCGGCAGTGACCGTCTTCATGATAGTTGGCCAGTTAAGGTTCAACGGACCCTCGGTGAATGCAATGTCCGAGGAGTCGAGGAAATCCTTGACGTCCTCCAGTGACTCCACCGGGATCGTGTTGATGTGGTAGGGCGGTCTTGTGAAGTCTTTGAAGACGAAGACAAGGTCAAAGTTCTTTAGGCCGAATTGGACTCTCTCAAGATGTGCGACCTCGATGTCCTCCAGGGTGATGACCATGAATGGTGGCTCCGTAAGTTGGATCAGACACTCCGTGGTTGGCTGGATGTAGACGTTGCTGCGGAACGGAACACCGTGGAATCCGAGATCCCTTATGGGCATGTCGACCTCGATATTCTCGTTCCGTCCAGCTTCAGCAATCTTCTCGGCGAAACCCTTGAACAGACGGTCCAGCTCCGCGCGTCGGCGGCGCTCCTCTTGTTCTGCCTCGAATTCATCTTCGTCACCATATCGATACTTGCGCTTGCGGTTGCCCGTCTCGTCGAACTGAATGTCAGTGGCCTCCCGGTAGAACTGGACATCCCTCGTCTTCTTCTTGTTGCCAACAATGATCGGGTCCTTGAGATAGATATGGATAATAACAATAAGCTCGTGCTCGCAGGGCTGAAAGAACAGATGGCGGACGTTGGAGAAGAGGATGTCGACTCTCTGATGGGGGTTGAGCGGGGACTGGTATCGGATACCGTTCTGGTGTATCTCGACCTTGCCAGGAACACGCTTGCCCTCCATTGCCGGTCGCAAGAAGACGTTATCCAAGACGGCCGGGCGACGGTCTGGGGGAAATAGTTTAGTACATGTACACTCATCAGCTCTGGCAGGAAAGGTGGACCTACTTCTAATCTCGACGAGCTTGTCCTGCTCGACAACATCTTCCATGTCTTTCTTTTCCTGCTCCTTCTTGGTCAAATCTCGTTTCATGTTGGAGATCTGGTTCGCTATCTCAGTGTACCGGTCACCATCCGTCGAACGGAAAGTAAGACTTCGGACAAAATGAGCGGACGCATCCTCAAAGGGCTGGTCATCTTTCCTGCCAACTCCTTGACCCGGCGACAGGAAGTTGATGCGAAGGAAAGACCACTCGCCCTCGTCGCTCTTGCTCGCGTTCTTGATTGTCTGGATGTGGAATGGAACCGGGCGACCCATCACAGGGAGGACGACGGTCGAGTTCTTCTGGTCGACAACAATGCCCATATCGCGGACCTTAGCTGGGAACTGGTTGTCACGCTTGTACGACTCGAAGCGCTTGAACTTCTTGGCCTCGCCTCCGTTCGGGTCAGTTGTAGACTCAGCAAAGCGCGCCATGCCCTCCTTTTGTTTCTTCGAAGCCAATTCCTTTTGATGCTCCTTGCGCCTGTTCTCAGCCTCTTCATCTTTGTCGTGGCCGCGGCCTGACCGCAGACGAGAGCTGGTGATGTTCTTGGCAGCGACGGCGCCAACGCGCGAGTCCTTCTTCTCCTTCTTCGGTGCCGGCTGCTGTTCCTCGTCATCCTTGAAAAAGAACGACGTCGAGTCAGGATCAGCAGCAGCCTCCCCGGTGAAGTTGACCGTACCCTCGGCAGTAACTCGGATGGTGTCCGTTACGATCAAGGAGTAGATCTTGCTGTTCTTGTCCTGTGGCTGAGGGTTCTCGAGATCTTGGAAGCCGGTGGAAACGCAGAGGGTCATCCCGTCCTTCAGAGCACGGCCGTTCTTGCCATTCAAGACCAGGGTCGGATCCTTGTTCTCGAGTCCGATGCCGTATCCGACGTTCTTCACAAAGTGCTTCTCAAGCTCCGGCTTCTTGCTCCGAACGTAGCTGAGAGCTTTGTTGTAGACATCCTTCGCCACGGCCCCGTCTCGAATCTCCTTCAGAATGAGATTATGGACCGTAAGAAGGAATTTGTAGTTGGACTCTTGCGTCTTGTTTGGGTCCACCATGTACGTCCGGGCAATACTGGAACAGTAGGACCTGTACCTAAGACCCATACCGGCAACGATGACGCCCGGATGGAGGTTTTCCTCGCTGGACTCCGCCTGCATCTTGAGATCGAATTTTCCGCCGCTATACACGACTGGGCCGATGGTCCAGTCGAGTTGGGTAGAATCGAAGTCTGACGCAAGTTTGCCGGACGGTAGCTTGACGGACTTCCAAAACTTTTCGTCATCAAGCTTGCTATCCACCTTGTCGGCCAGAACACGGTGTTTGACCTTCTTCTCCTGATCAAGGATCGTGGACATCTCATCCAGGAAGTAGGAATGCATCAAGGCGACGCAGGCCTTGGACGAGTTCCTAACTGCACGAAGTTCGATCTCGTCCTTGGTTGAGAAGGCCGCCGTAGACAGCAGAGGTGATATCGACCTCTTCCACGTCCTTGCAGTCCTCAGAAAATACCGCCTTCCACTCATCAACGAAGGGACCTCGGGAGGCATCTTTCGAGATGACGCCAACTTTGTTCTGTAGAGCCAGTCTTGTCAGCAGATGCAACGGGCGATTCTGAACTGGCCAGAACTCACGCCAGCCTTCTTGATGATCTCGGCGACCTTGACGAAGAGCTTTTTGTTCTCTTCTGCATCCTTGCCCCGCACAAGCACCTCCACAGGAAATTTGTCACCCTTGATCTGGTCGAGGTATTTGGCTATTATCTGTGGTCAGGTCTCGCTCGGTCACTCATTTTCGTGATGTCGCGTTGGGAAAGCACACCTTTCTTCTGGGTGGTCAGGATGTACAGGGTCTCTGGGGTGAAGAGCATCAGGGTGGTGGGGAACTCGTAGCCTAGCAGCCAGAACTGTAGAAATGCAACAATTAGCTTGGCAAGCCCAGAGCGGGCAAGAGGGGAGAGGGCGACGAGGGCACAAGACGTACGTGCATGGCGTTGTTCTTTTGGAAGCCCTGGGCCTCCTCCATCTTGCCCATCATGATGATGATGGAGGAGGCGCCTCCGAAGAGGGCATCTCCAGATCGCTTGTCGGCCTTCCAGGCATTGACGAAGTGGGAGATGCGCTCTTGGAAGAGCTTGTTGTCGATCTTGATGGCCTCCGACATTGTGACTGCACGCGATTGCGGATGCCGCCGCGATTGATGCAGGTGTCAGAAGTCAGAAGATGGATGGAGCAGCAGGTGGTGCTGCGATGGAGTTGGGGAGGAGATCGTCGCGAGGAAAGATTGCGGTCGACGAGGACGAAGACGAGGTGAGACTTGCAGGAGGAGCTGTCTGCCCGTGCTTGCCTTGCCTTAGCTTAGCGGCCAGACGCTACTGCTGCCACTGTAAAGTGTTGTGGGTCCACAGGTCGCGCGTCGCGTCACCAGGCGACTGACTGACTTGCCTGCTCGCGGCTGGGGATTGGCGCCTCAGGCCACAACTTCACAGGGCTGGCGACCTGTTGTATCGTAGGCGAGAACCTTCTTCCTTTTGTAATGAAGAGTAGTCTGTATAACAATGAACTCCAATGAAAGCAGAGCCCAGGCCTTTGCAGAAGACACAGATTCGCCGCAATTTAATCACCAAGACGAGGAGATGGTGCAAGGGTTGGAAGGTGAACAGAAAGATTAGACTAGACGTGGCAGGCAAGAAGGGATGGGTGGTGATGCAGCAGCCGGTTGGTGAATGCAATCTGGCGGAGGGAGTCGGGCTGTTGTCCAGTTGTGGCGAGATGGGACAGTGGTCGATGCTGCTGCTTACCAGAGTCTCCAATGCCACATGGGTATGGCCATGGCGAGAACTATGCCTCCATGTGACTGGAATCCAGGCATTCATTCAGCCTTGTTTGTTTAGGATACCCCATGCTTAGCACTGCTTTGGGCGTTGACCCGGGCTCTCTTTGCCTCTGTTGGAGAGCGGCAACTTGGCATCCACACCACCCCCTCCCTCACCCACACCTAGACAAGCCTTAGACCAGGGTTAGGCGACGGTGTCGAACTCGGTCTCTGAACAAAGGACAATGGACCTTGACCCTGCTACGGAACCAAATCAGGCAAGGTAGACAGAAATCAAAAGGTTCGTCCTCGAGCGGTCACAGCCAGCAGATAAACCTGCAGTGGCCTGGAGACACAGAAGGATCGTGAGGGCGAGGCTGCTTGTCCGATAAAGGCGCCTGGATTTCTAAGCAGCATGCACCTTTTTGCCTACTGTGGATGAAAAACGGTGCTGTATAAATAGGCATCTATGCACGATATGCACGATTCGTCGGCAGATGGGCCCACTATTACAGGATGATTTATTTGCACATAGAGTATATGGTGCACCGTCCGCGACTCACTCGTCAAGACGGGAACGACCTCTGCTCCCACCGAGGTCTAGTCGTCTAGTCTGGGTGGTTCATTGCGGTCCCGGCCGACTAACTGACTGATCAGCAAGCTGCAGGGCCGTTTTCCACGAGTCGCCCCATCGCTCCTTGCCGTTTCCCGCTCCCGCTCCCGCTCCCGGGCTTGCCCATTCCGTGTCGATGGGAATTTTTCTCCCACCTGCCTCTATCTCATGTCAAGACTACTAGGTAGATTCCATGCCCGGCTTCTCATTACGTATACACTCACACAGAGCGCGGCGTGGAGCATCTCTGCCCACCTCGCTTGATCCACAATCACCCAGTCGACGTCCAGGGATATTGCGCAACCGTCCTGCCGCTGTCCAGGCCTGCCTGCACGAGGCGGAATAAGCGCGGGCACACCACCGACGTCGATGCACAAGCTGCAGTGGAGTCCGCAAGCCTGCAGATCGTCTCTCCAACAATAGAGTCTCCTCTGAGAGAGACTTCCTATATCTGAGCCTTTTGATCCCTCTCGTCAGTCTCATACCCTCTTGACCGAATGCAGTGCGTCCTGACCCTGTCATAGATCAAACATCTCATATCAGTCTCCGGCAAATAACTTCAACGGATGATGCAGTGAAGTCACTCGGGCTAAATTCGGATATCATCGGTATCCCAGACGCCTGAAGCGCCCCTCCAGATTGCACTTGCCGCCTCGCTCATCACCAACAGTCGAGCCTTGCGGGCAGTACTCACTCACTCACTCACAATGGGGTTATTGTACGTTCATGCCCAACCCCATCCAGAACCTTGTCTCAGAATATCCTTGCTAATGCCGGCCCGTCAAGAGCTCTCGGCACACCTCTGGATTGGCCAGAAGCCAAGCAAAATGCCGATCAGGTCCGCGAATGGGGCATCAAGGTGAGGACCATTCCCCGGCCAATACTCGGAGCATCCCGAGGACCATGTTGACCGTCAGCCTAGCAACTCCTGGAGATATGGAACAAGGCCAAGGGGAAAGAGTCAGATGCCCTGCTTTGGGGTGACGAGGTACTATTCCCAACATCACCGTCCCCGGTCTCATGTAACAAGAAGCCACTCACTGACATCGCCTCTCACCTTCCACTCAGGTCGAGTATCTCGTAGTGACACACTCAAAGGATGACCCTCGTGTCCTCCTATCCCTCAGGCAGGCAGATATCCTTGAGGCCCTGGCCTCGGACACCAATCTCACTGCGAAGGGTGGTTGCGTCCCGGCTCTTCAAGATGTAGCTGGAGCAAGGTAATATGAGTCCAACTCCGCACTCCAGACCACCAGCTAACTCAGGCGTCAGTGCGAATGAGCCCCTTCCTGTGTTCCATCCCGAATTTGGAAGGTTCATGCTGGAAGCCACTCCGGGCAAGCCATGGGGCATTGAATTTAGAGAACTCCTTAAAGTGGAACCAGACATGATCCTCAGGCGAGCCATCGCAAAGGACCACATGAGACCAGAAGAGTTCCCCATCACTCTCACGACTTTTCCCAGGATAGGAAGCCCCGGTGTCTTCACCGACCCGCACTATCCGGTCTCTGGGCCAAAGCTGCGCTCCCAGTTCGTGCCTGACGAGATCGCGAACCCTCATATCCGCTTCCCTACCTTGGCTGCAAACATTCGCTGGCGGCGAGGCAGGAAGGTCCAAGTGAATGTACCAGTCTTCAAGGATAAGAACACGCCCTGGCCATGGAAAGATCCCACTGTGAATTACAATCTTCACAACTGGCCAGAGGACGACGATGTAAGGAACGGAGCCGCTCCGGACAACTTTATTCACATGGACGCCATGGCTTTTGGTATGGGCAGTTGTTGCTTGCAGATCACCTTCCAGGCCAAGAATATCACCGAGGGCAGGAAGATGTATGATCAGCTTAGTCCACTTGGGCCCATCCTGCTCGCCCTGACGGCGGCTACCCCCATCTACAAGGGCTTCCTGGCAGACACAGACGTCCGGTGGAACCAGATCAGCCGGGCTGTCGATGACCGGACACCTGAAGAGCTGGCCGAGAAGGTATGCCTCTGAACCCCGACGCTCCGTCCTTGATTCGCGCTAAATGATTTCCCAAGCCTCTGCAAAATGACCGTTGGCGCATCCCCAAGTCCCGCTACGCATCCAACTCGACATATATATCCACCGACTCGCGCCTTCGGCCCGAGTACTCGACCCGGACCTGGTCATCGATGAGTCTATCAAGCAGAAGCTCCTCGACGGCGGCATGGACGACCGGCTGGCGACGCACTTCGCACACCTCTTCATCCGGGACCCAATCGTCATCTTCAAGGAGGACCTTGAGAGCCTGGACATGAGCAAGACGGACCACTTCGAGAACATCCAGTCGACCAACTGGCAGCACATGCGCTTCAAGCCGCCGCCGGCCGACAACAACATCGGCTGGCGCGTCGAGTTCCGGCCCATGGAGATCCAGGTCACCGACTTTGAGAACGCCGCCTTCGCCGTCTTCATCGTGCTCATCACCCGCGCCATCCTGTCCTTCGACCTCAACTTCTACATCCCCATCGCCAAGGTCGACGAGAACATGGAGACGGCCCATCGCCGTGACGCCACCCTGAATGAGAGGTTCTACTTCCGCAAGAACCCCTTCACGACCCGCTCGCCGCGCGCCAGCGGCGCGAACACCCCCAACGGCGGCATCAGCAGGCCGCCCACGCCGCTGGGGCCAGTCGAGGACGAGTACCGGCTCATGAGCGTCAACGAGATCATCAACGGCACGGCGGCCGCGGCGGGAGGCGACGCCGCGGGTGACGACGGCCTAGACGACGGCGAGAGTTTCCCGGGGCTGATCCCTCTCGTCGAGAGCTACCTGGACAGCGTCAACGTCGACGTCGTCACGCGCTGCGAACTGGCCACCTACCTGGACCTGATCCGGCGACGCGCCAGCGGCGAGCTCTGGACCGCCGCCAAGTGGATCCGCCACCTCGTCGCCGGTCACCCCGCCTACAAGGGTGACAGCGTCGTGTCCGAGGAGGTCAACAAGGATATCGTCGGCGCCGTCATCGAGATCGGGGAGCGGGAGTGCTCGGGGAAGGGGTTCGGGGACCTAAGCCACGTCCCCGGTCTGGCGAACCTCCTGGGCAACTTCCGCCGTGGAAAGAGGTGTACCTGAGGCGGCACCGCTGGTTGAATGAGGAGGCGATAGGGAGGTTCAAGATGGCCGCGCCGCCCACCGGGCGGTGCGTTGCCTTTGCATTTGGGTTCAAGTTTACCATCAAGTGTTGCACTACAGAGTAAAATGGGTGCACCCACACCCTCCGAGTGTGATTTGACCTCATATGGTGACTTCCTGGATTCCAACATCAAGGCCCCTGGAATCACTCATCGGTCACGCCGGCACTTTTCTCTACCCGGATGGCGTGTTTGGGCCCTCGCGACCAGCGTTTCAATTTCCTAGACATGATAGACATCACAAGACCAGCAATATGAAGTTCATTAACACGGCGTTGGGGTTGAAACATCGCATTGGCTGTCGCCGCTTTCATAAATCCCAGTCATCAGCGTGTGTTGCGACCACCAGTCTCCGAGCTCCCTTCCACGGGACAGCTCCCTGTGAGGCAGCTTCGACTATGATAACATCCCGTGCAGTTCGTTAATATGGTACCTCCCATGGAGAGTGGAATCACTGCCTGGTGTTCTATCTTCTCAAACCTTTACCTGCACTACCAGCTTTGAACTGTGGAACTTTGTCGCAATGTCGTTACAAGTTAACATTCTGGGTATTTCCCAGCTTGGCCGCGTCGGCTCCAATGAGTCGTTTTGAGGTCTGGCTGAGACAGTATCGCCAGGCCAGGGTCTCATAACATCGGGTCTAGACGATAGCTCTACGGGCTGTCGCCCATAGGCAGAAGCCATCAGCTCCCTTACCTCATATTCAGTCGGAAAGCAACGTGACCGAGCTGTCTCGCATGGCGGATGTAATTCCCTCAGCCAGTCCCCCATAACGAGGTAGTTCCATTGAGGCCTCTCAACAAGCAATTGCCCCGCAGGCTCTTACTGGAATGCTCGAATCCCAGGACTCAGTCAACTGGCCTCCTGAACAGGCCCAAAACAACAAGCCCATCATGCCATATCAACACTGCCTCCTCTGATGACATCAAGAACCCTGGAAGAAAGCCCACAACGACACCACAGGAACCAAGTGACAACAGAGCACCGCGGGCCACCAAGGGAGGTGCGGACGTCAGACTGTCCAAAACCATGCCCCGGGTACGCCAGCCGCATCACCCTGACCGTGCAAGGACCACGCCACCAAGGGGGTGGAGGGGGGCCGGCTCCTTCATCGCAAGACCCACGGTCTGTTCGCACGATGGCACGCACACACATGCCCAGAGGCCAGCCAAACAGTCGAGCCGAGGCAGATCTTGCTGGCCGGGGGTGGTGTTGAGAGAATTAAAAGGTGAGCGGGTGGGTGAGCACTAAACAGGGGGGCCCTCGGAGAGTGTGTCCTTCAATGACGCAGTAGTCTATAGACACATTCGCAAGCAAAGAAGAAGAAAGCAAGAGGAGGTACTTCGAAACCATCCCTCCACCCCATAAAAGTTCCTCCTCTCCCCAAACCCGCCAAAGGAGAAGTCCGTGTGGGGCGCTCGTCGTTTTGCCTAGCCTTGCCCTGGGCTGGCATGGCCTGCCTGCCTTTCGACTGGACGTCATATCGGGTCACCTTCTGGTAGAGAGAAATTGTCAGCACCGCACCTGTTTCCCTGATGAGGAAGGTGAGTTGGGAGGCTTGGGGGGGACGGCTGGCTCTCCCAGGGGCCTTCGCCCAGAACGCAAGAAGTCCAGCTCGAGCAATGGCCGCGAATCCGACCCGGTATCTCGGTATGGTCGGATGCGGGTGTACAGGTACCGTGACTGCCGGGCATCCTTTTTTCGGCGCACGGCTTCTATATCTATTCGACGCGGCGCTACCTGGAGCATGCAGTCGTCTACGGCCCGCGCACATGCACCTTCTGGGGGTAGAAGGGGGGCTCGGTGAAGGTGGAAAAGCAGCACCTCACTGCTCCGTACAGCGCAGCGGGTGAGAGGCACGGGAATAAAAAAGCAGGAGAGGCAAGAAGCCGCCCAAGAGCGCCACATGGCGTCCCGAGGGAAGGAATAAACGAGACTTTGACAGCTTGCCAAGGGCCTCGAGGCAGGTCTTGTCACATATCGAATCCGGAGAGCGTAAGACCTGCCAGCCCTTGCCGGCTGTGATCAAGCCCGTGAGACGGATCAGGATCTGGGAGCAGCATGGGGCTCGACGAATGATGTTGTCAGGAGCTCGCTCCGTGCTGACTCCTGCGCCAGGTGGGGGGAGGGGAGGGATTCCTTTCGGCGCAATGTTGAAGAAGAACAAAGAGCTCAACGTGTTCCATCACGTGTGGTCTCACTTGACGACGTCCCCTAACGCATGTCTCAGCTCTCCGTCCGATCCCCGTTGCGTACAGCCATGTTACAAGTCACGAGGAAAAAGGAAGAAGAGAAGCAAGCAAGGGCAATAGGCGCCCCGTGCCCAAGACACGAAGGACGACGGCCGTTCTGTGTCATAAGGGAGCCTTGATCCATCATCAAAACCGTGCCGCTTGGGGAGGGAGGAGTTTCAGCCCGCAGGCGCCGACGACCACCGGTGTCTGTCGCCCCAGATGACCAGGAGGAATCGAACACCGACATCTCCATGAAAGCGGCTAAGATCTCCCCCCGCCTGACACGAGATCAAGTCGAATCTCGATAAGATTTAACGGGCTAGGATTCCCAGGGATGTGGGGGCAGAGCGCGTGGGTGGGTGGTCAGCGTCGTCGCGGACAAGTCCAACCGAGACGATGGACTGGCACCTGGCACCGTGGTCGCGCTGGCTCAAGCGAGATATGGCCAGACGGGGCTCGCGACCTTAAAAGGTGGCTCATGTGGGAAATCGTATGTTCGGGTACTTGTCAAGACGTCAGCGCTACTATGTGTGGACAAGCATCGTGGGCCAACGGCGCGTGTGGGCCGGGGCCTGCTCCTCTTTTCGTGGTGAAATGTGACAGATCACAAAGGTTGGTCGCCCACAGTCGGTTACATTCCGAATAGAAGGAGGTGATCGGGATGGCCACCCAAAATGCGACCCGTCAGATCTTGAGCCGATCTTTCCTTCAACAAGCCCAAGATTGGCAGCGCAAAGTCGGTCCTGTTGCCTCTTCTCGAGGGCTGATAGCGAGCGGTGCTTACTCACATGTTCTTTTGTCGGTTTGGCATCGTCAGATCCTACACATAAACGGGTAATTATCGCGTCTTCTGTCTCACCCGTCCCATGGCTCTTCAAGATGCGGCAGGCGCTGCGGCCAGCGGCGGTGCGCCGAGCAGGCTGGCAGGTCGACAACACAGTCAGACTCGCCCACACCCCTGAAGCAGTATCCAGGAACGACTTTGCCGTGCCGCTGGGAGCAGCGACCAGGCGCGTTGAGCTCTCACAATGGCGGGATCCCGACGGCTTGGTTAACATCCGAGCATCTTTCGGAAGAGGCATTGGCGACAAGCAGCGGCCGCTCGCTCGCTCGAGAGGGCCTGTGTAACGGCTGTCAAGCCGCAGGAGGTTGCATGGGATGAAGAAGATGCAGGCCAACAATGGCTCCTACGCACTGTGGTGCACCTCCAGGACACGCAACGGAAGAACGTTGGTGGCAGACGTGACTGGCCCGGGAGTAGTTGTTGGGCCGCTGCTCCAGCAAAGGCGTCTTGGTGGTACTGACACAGTGATCGGGATGCTGGCTTGGTCTGTTGCGCCCCGTGCCGCCTGTCATCGCTTTGGCCTCCTGTCCGCTGCCCGCGCGCCCAACCAACGTCCTTGACTGTATTTCCTCAGCAGCCGTTGGCACGAATCAAGGGATCCAACGTTCCTGTGGGCTGGCAAGCCACGCTGGCCGCGTCCACAGCGAGTACCTGTGCCTCGAGTTTGCAGAGTCGTGATCACTAAGTCGCACAATTGCCTGCTCTTTCCGAGGCTCCCTTGCTGCCCAAAGGACGGGTGCCTCGATCGTTCAATGGCAGGCGACGTGATGCCACGCGGTTCTGGAATGAGCAGCCAGTGCTGACATTCACTCTCTTCTCCCTCTACGTAGCAGCCTCGTGCTTCCTTGTGTACCATACGGTAGCCTGCGTGGCAAGCGACATTACTGCCGGCGATTCGAATGCCTCCGGGCCGTGTACTTCTTCCTCCGACGTGGGCACACACTGCTGTTTGTTGGGCATGGGTTGACGCCCGTCTCTCAGGCCCATGACCGCAATGGCCAACCACGGGCGGGTAGGGAATGTACCCTCCCCAAGTGAGCGAGTCTTGGAAGATTCGTAGGCGTCATCCGCTCTCGACACACGAGGAACCCTTCAGGGCCTCAGAGTCTTGTGAGAACAAGTAGCAGGTACAGCGAGACCCAGGCGTTAGTGCCGATGATGTGATGATATATCAGCAATATAAACGCCCCACCCCCCTTTCGCAATGCTGTATGTTGCTTCGTAGGTCCCTCCCATGTAGGTTACACAGCGCGAAACAGAACCAGACGTGAGCAACGGGAAGTGCCAGGTAAGTAGCCTGCACTGCCCTGGACTTCTGTCAAGGGTCGCATCAGAAGCAATCTCCCCTTTGCTTTTTGCGGCGGGCCAAGTCCAGGATTCTGACAGGATTACCGCCAGTCTGGAGTGATCTAGATACGCCCGATGAGATGATCGAGGAGGCCAAGGGTCCGTACAGATACCCGGGCCTCGATTTGTATGGGACTTCAGCCGTTGGAAGCTGAGATGCAGCAAATCGGGTACAGTAGGCTTGCCCCGTTGACTCTCTGCCCTAGCCTTTTGGAGCAACCGGCGAACCGCTTCTAAACACTCGCCCCTGGTGTCTTTTCGGAGACATCTACTGGACATCATTCACTCAGGCAGCGAATGGCGGCAGGGCGTGGGGTTTCACTTTGGATACCGTTGCCGCCAGAGCACAAGAGGCCTTGTCCTCCAGCATAAGGGAGGCGGTACAAGATGTGTATCGCACAGAGGTCAGATGCTGCATTCCGCTGTCCTTCCAGGGTGTCCTCACAGGCTCATATACGAGATATGTGTTCCCTTCCAGCCCCGCCTTGCATGGGTTCGAATCGGACAGAGTGCCTCGCGAGACCGTAGTGCAAGTTTGTGCCTTCGAAGTACCACCGAGGTGTTGGTGTTCGTTGCTCGCTGCGTGCCGGTACAGCAGGTTGCAGCCGGTACACAACCTTTGAATGCCGTCACGTCAACGTCGAATTGTGCTGTGCTATGTAATTTTGTGCGCTTGTGACACTCGGAGAATTTTCGAGCCTGTCCACTGCTTCCATCATCTCACAAGCACGAGGTGGCTGCCTAGAAAAGGACAATTAACGGGAACTTGCGAAGCACCGTTCTGGTCGGGACGGTGCTTTTCTCAGGGGTTGAGGCCAACACCGACGACGACCCATTGGTCTGCAAAACCATGGGCTGGCTACTGCCGCTCCGTACGAGCACCATGGCTGCATGCTTAAAGGGTTCCAGATTGATGTGTCTGACAGGAAACTGCCGGGAAAACTCCGTGGCAGCACGCCCCGTCTCTCGCTCGCTCGACGCAGGTTCGTTGACGGTTCTGCGGACCGTCACTCACAATGAGACGAGGGAACGTTTATAGCTCCACGGTGGCTTCTCACATCGGCCTCCGGGGCAAAAGTGCCGTTCTGTCTTCCAGTGCCATGGTAGGTGCGGTTAAGCTTTTTGATCGTGCTCTTCTGATAGCGAAGCTTGGTAGCTGGAGGAAGAGCGATCAATCAGAGGCAGTGACCACCTCGTCATTGTGGTGCAGGAAGTTCTGGCCTCGCAACTTGTTGCTTCTTCGAATGTGACAGGTGGGAAGTGCCTGCTTCTTTTAGCAACAGATGGCTTGCCGTGGGGACCTTGATCATGCAAGGTTGGCGGTTGACAGCTGCTTGTGGCCACCTTCCCAAAATCAGTGGCCCCCAAGGACATGCAAGCTGCAATGCATAATCTGAATACACTGACAGGGCTGGCAACAATGCATAGATGCTCTGGAAGCATCAACCAGTCGATCCCCGGTACAGTCGTACCATTCAGGTAGAAGCAAGTCTCATGCCTCCGGGCGGCATTGGACGCGACACAGGCGAAAACCCAGGTGACCAAATATACGCTGGCAAGGCTTTGGTGAGTCTGAAGTATGTGTTGTACTTTGTCACAGCTCACTGCACAAATGCCCTTCATCACCGAATGCTCAAGCCCAGAGAGTTCACGGCGAATAGCCTATGTCGGCGGTACAGCTGAGTCGAGAACGGATCGCTGGACATATCTCGCTTGTTGTTCTGCAAGCGGGAGGCGACCCAGAGCAAAGGTCGCGGTAGCAGAGAGATTTGATTTTATGCGGTCATGACCGGATCTGAGTGGAAACACGGCTATCTCTTGGGGGACCCAGTGAATGCAGATCAAGCCCCGTAGTGATCGGAGCCGTGATTTGACAGCTCTCGATGGACATTTTTCCCAGATCGGCAGCTGTTCCCGGCCGCCTTGGGACTTTTACCCTGTAAGCATTGTCGTCGAGGATCGTGTGCAGGGGCTCCCACTGGGGGTGTGGGCACTGGAGCCGGATTTGGTCCACAAGGTCGAATGATTCGAGATCACAAGGTCACCCGCGGGTGGCCCCATCGTGTCGATACAGTTCACACAAACCCCATCCTGAGCGGTCAGGATTTGGATTCAGATTCAGGATGTGACAATTCCACACCGTTGTCATCAAAGTCTCCATGCCTCGTGTGGGGACTGGAGTTCTCGCCAAGAAACTCACAGCAGCCTGTGATCGTCTCTCAGGCATCGAGGATGTGATCATCATCAAGGACAGTGTGCTGAAAGGTCATGGCGTCAAGCGCACGACGCAGGGTGATTTCCGGGGAGGGGAGGGGAGGGGGCCAATTGTGACCGGTGTTGTCTGCCAGTTAAGTTCAGCATTGTTGTGGCTTTCAGAAAGGTGATGAGGCGCATCAAAGGTTGTTCTCGCAAGCGCCCGAGACGTTGGACAAGGTGACGAGACACATAATCTACCATCATTCTCCTTTCGCACACAATTGTGACGGAAGCACCGGCGGCGAAGGCCTTCACCGACAACCCTATGGTGCTTTCACTGTTGTAGAGTACACGCCAATTCGTACTCCCTTTGTCCGGCGCGATCGGAAAGTGCCCACACAGTCCGGAAAGACGACGTGGGGCACATCCTTTCCTGAAATCTTCTCGAAGCTTGAAGGGAGGAGCCTGTTGGATGGATCCAAGGGGCCGAGTCGTTGCAGTATCAGGGGCAGGAGCTGCGATCCCAAAGTGGATGCCCCAGATCCAGCAGCAACAGGGGCATCACGAACCTTAACGCGGGTGCAAACAGCTGTCAAACAAGGGGCCCACATCTTGCCCGCGGGCGAGCGGTGACGACAAAGTGGCAGGCCAGGATCTGACGAGGTCCGCCCTGCCACGTCGTGTTACTGCCGTGGGGTCCCGGACTGCCGGATGGGCTCCCGTCCAAGGCAATTTCACCCCTTTGTACTGTAGAGCCTCACTGTGTTTGATGGCTTCTGCATCGAGAACAAAATGAGCTGAGAATTGCATAACAGGATCCGCTGTGAATTTTCCAAAGTTTTCAGAGGGGTCAACGTCAGATGCTACATACGAGGTAATCGAGATCGGGATTTAGATCCGCAGATTGTGACAGGACGCAGTGGCAGGGTCCAGGCGAGCCCATTTTTAGATTGTGAACGTAGGTTCATGATGTCCTCGCCGGCCTGAATCAAACTCTTGATGTCTTCGTGTCATTCTGCCTCCGTCCAGGAGGCGCAGCAGCTCTGTTTCTCAAATGGTCGTAATATCCGAGGTCACGGACGTTGTTGCTCCTCCGGAACTCTTGAACTTGAACAAGCCAATCGCGATCTGCTGCAATGTCGTGCGTAGTGGGCGGAGGTAACCGTGGGTGACCAGGCTTCCAAGCCCTCCTGGAGGCCGCGTGGTGTCCACATTGACAGAACTTGTGCTCTACGGCGAAGTTCGATCGGGTTTCCATCGTAGAATTGGCACTTGCGCCCATACCCTGGTGACTTTCGTCTTCTTCGTCGTACGTAAACATTAGTCTCCTAGCCGAATGTAATAATACCGAGGTTTTTGTGCTGGTAAACTGATCTAAGCGACTTGCATGGGAGGCAGCCCTTGTGGCCTAGCAACTTTAATAATGTCCTCAATCTCTCAACCTGGTGACGGGACATTCACACAAGTCCGAGAGAGCTGGCATGGGGAGCTTGTCTTGTGGTATCCTTCCTTCTATAGCGGCTGTGGTAAAGGCCTGGGTTCCAGGCGCGGTGGTAGTGGATCTGTGTTTCGTCAGGTGTGCATTACGCTGCGTTGCACTGTACGACGCGAGTCGCAAAATCTCCGTGATGCCAGATGGACCCCGTCAGATCGCTTTGCTGGGATGCGTTTCGTATGGATATTGCCGAGTCCCAGCGTGTTGCTGGGTCCAAGAACGAGGCGAATCGATGCCGATTGCAGCTGTGCGACCCTTTTTCTTTTCTTTTCTTTTCTGCTCTCCATTTTCTGGCTCAACGGTTCCTGGATGAAGCTGACCATGCGCACTCTGTTGCTCAAAACTGTGTTGGTCATAATTTCAGGGCTATCTCGGAGCTTTGCACTGGCTTTGGAAAGTCCAAGTCGATTGTTGCAGGCCCCTTCGCGCAGCTATTTCGAGACCACTGTGCAGGTTGCAGCTTGCCAGAGTCGGGACGATAACCTCCAAGCAGGCGGCAGCAAGCCCCCATACCACCTGCCTTAAGCATCTACGTTAGGGTCCACGTTTCTACCAGGGCTTATGACACTGAGGAACTTCTCTCAGTGAGAAAGCAGACAGTGTTCCGGCAACCAGGTTTCCGTGCTCACAGCATCGATCACCATTTCAGGGTCCGAGCCGCAAGTAGGGCAGGGCCGTAGATCACATCAAGTAAGGAGTATTTTCATCCCAACAGTCATGTGGCGATACCGTAGTATCGTGTCATCGGGGGTGCAACGGGGTTCTCTGCAACGGCGACGCAGTTCCTTCAGGCGAAACAAAGAGCCACCAATCGCCCGAACGCGGAAATCAGCACTCCAGATTGTTTCTTGCATTTGGTAATCGGCATGAGGCTGCTGCACAACACAGCATAGCGGATACCGGAAGTCCAAACGAGAATGACCGTGACCTACCATCCTTCGTCCCGGACGTGGCCTGATCACTGAGACGGAGGAGGAAAGTGTCCGGTGAGCCACATATGCGCCGGAAGCAGCTCAAATATTGCTGTGTCGTCAACGGCCGCACGCCTAGTAGGATCATCCTTGTAAGTAGGTGCGCCCCTAGGCTCAACCGCGAACATGATTTCTGCAAGAGGATTGCACCCGGCCAGCCATCAACCATGTAAGCTTTTGCTCTCGCCGTGACGCCCTGAATACTCAATTGAGCAAGAGGGGCCATGGCTTTGTTGCCGGAAACCGGCCTCGTGACCTCAAGATTTTGGTTCGTCCCAAGATATATGTTTCGACGAGCACACTGTTCTGACACCCGAGATACTGCCGCTCATAATCTTGGTGCGATCGGAGCCAGTCGCTTCGAGTTGCGGACCCATGCTCCGGCTCTGGCTAATTCTGTGGCAGGATCATTCGCACACGATTGCAACCATAGATCCCAGGCGTGATTGGGGGTGTGTGGAGTTGCGCAAGGCATGCTCGGGATCACAGCGGTGAGGTTTTATTTGTCCGCTGTCGCTTTACAGTGCGTCTAAGTGCTTGGTTAAGGCTTTCTGCGGGACTGTGCGACACAGCTTGATGACAACGACGTTGACCCGTGATGGGCCCCCAGACAAGCTTTTCCCCAGCATGGTTTGGCTTGAGCTTGCAATCTGAGGATGCGCATGGTCAAGAGGCCGTGGACCGCGAGTCTTGTCGCAAATCTGAGGAGATGGATCTGACATGTATGCGTCTTGTTCCGCGATGGCGTTCGGACCCATGGACGAAGGTTTGCGAAAGGATCTTGCGGGGAAGTCAAAATGCTGTGCGACGAGAAACTTCAGGATCCGCCAGCTCAGGTGCCGACCCTGAGGTTTGTGCCCGATAGGCTGGTCCAGGTGGCCTGTCGTTGGGTTGAAACACGTTATCGCAGATCTGAGAGAAAGTCTGAGGCTGCCAGATCTGGTCAGCATCTTGGGTCGATTCAGCCCATCCATCCGTTCACGGGCCTGCCGAAATACGCTCTACGGGCTGTCTCATGGGCACGATTGGTTTTGGCGCGTGCAGCTCAAGAGTTTGCTGTCGTCGTCAGCGGTTTTCGCGGGCTGAAAATCATGCCAGGTGCTGTAGGTAGTGCTCTGACCCGAGTGGGCCTGTCTCGTGTTGGCCTCGCCGCCAACCGCGAATTGAAGCTTGGCTATCCGCGGCCCCAAAGGCTCAGACTCGCGTCAGGGTGACCGACCACGAGCGTCTGGAGACTTTTGCTCCATGAAGCTTAGGATTTGTGCCGTCAAAGCTGACATCGAGAGGTCGCCTTCTCTGCGGGGACAGTTTAAAGTCTCAGCATCGTGGCTCAGAGTTCCCAGCCCTGTCCGGCTGCGGCGTTGAAGGTGCTTGTACGCCAAGAGTTTGCAGCGTGCCAAAATGTTTCCGGGGGGGAGCCCCATGACGCCAAGGTGCATACATAGCTGACAGTCGTGGGGGCGAGGAGCCCAAAGGGCCCGATGTTGGACGGAATACTGTGAAGATGCCTTGTGGCGTGACCACGATGGCGCGTACGCATGTAGTGAAATATGACTGCCAGGGACGGGACTGCCCAGTCTCGACGGCAGGTCTAGACGGCACAGCAAGCTATTTGTCGAGAGGCGGAATCATGTGCTCGCCGGTGGCACATGGGCGGAATCTCGGGCACCTGGAAAGGGAAGAGAGCTAGCTGCGGTGCGAGGTGAGATCTCTGCTGTGCCATGTACATATCAGGCAGTTCAGCCAGGATGTGGCTCAGCTGGGGAGAGTGCATGACACAGGTATGCGGCGAGATTGTGTGCACCAGTAAGTCGAGGCAGCTTCGGTGGTGGGCCTAAGGGGTAAGGGGTGGGTGCAGCACCAGGCTGGAACTGAGCAAGAGCGATTGGCTGGAGATTTGGGCAGTGGCAGCGGGCAGACAATGGCAATGGCAATGGCAATGGCAATGGCAATGGCAACCTGTCGTTCGTTACGCAGAAGGCGCGCCCTCGAGCGACCAGATTGTATCGGCAGGCAGCACACCAGGCCCAGCCGTGATCATACCTACCTAGGTACCTGCATCCCGAGTCGGGGAGATGAAAAAGCTGTCGTGGCCCCGGGGAGTTCACGGAAGCTTTCGCCGCCTGACAACGTTTGTCGCGAGGGAGACCACGCTGCCGCCGACAGGAACGGTCTCGCTGGGGCACAGCCGTTCGTGGGGGGTTTATGGCAACCACGTCTGTGACAACGGTCTGAGGCCCAATGAAGCCGAACATGTAGAAATCACGACAAGACCAGACTGGAGTCGGCCGCGGATGCCATGTCCGACCAGTGCTGGCCGGCTCCCGAGGCACATACTTGAGCTCCCACCGGACCGCTTCCCGGGACACGCAGCAGTGCACATCGCACCCTGTCCATGATCGAATGCTCCTTGTTGATTTGACGTCAGGCTCAATCGATTCCAAGGTTCGCGGGTGAAGATGGAACGGCGCTAGAACAGCCGGAGAAATCAACTTGTTCAGCGCGTGTCGGAGCATCTTTGTCCATACAGTAGTCAACCAAATCTCAATCACTCAATACTGTGTACACAGCGCTGCTTGGGCCATGAGGCATGGGACATGGAGCATGGTCATGGTCGCTCGGCTGTGAGATCCAAGATGCTAGCCCGATCGGGGCTGCAGATGGGGCCCAAACACTGCCTAGATCGGTCAAAGGCTTTGCAAATGTGCCCATGGCCCCCTTTCGCCCACAGGTCTGCCCGCCGAATACCCGTACCACCTGCCGGGTGGATGGACGGGCGCCATGGAATGCCCTCCCTCATCCGCAACCACGGCAGATGCTGGGAGGCACACTATCAAATAATCCCTTCCGCCTCGCTTACTGCTCCCCGGGCTCAAGAACTCGTGGATAACTGCGCTATGCTAAAGTCCAGGCCTCGTGGAGGCGGCACAGGACTGCCGATGGCAAGTCTTGACGAGTAGCCCTAGGATATGCTGCAGCAGAAGCAGAAGAAGCAGTAGGCCCTGCAGCACAGAAGACTGGTGGACAAGGAGTAGTCAGTCAGCACTGCGTCCTGCGAAGTGCAGAGCAGAGCAGAGCAGAGCAGGGTCGGGTCCAGATGTAGACTACCTACATGGCAGCAATGCAATGCAAGCCGCCCACCCTTCTTACGACACCATCATCATCATCACCACCACCACCACCACCATTGCAGTACCACCACCACATCAATCGAAATGCAGGCAGACACACCTTCGATCCAGCTGTCAGAAAGGCGTGCGTCGGGTCGGGTCCAATTACCACGTCGCTGGCCGGCCCCTGTCCCCTGACGCCGGCCCTGGGCGTGGCCCATCCAGTGCCAATGCCAGTGCCACCCACAAAAAATGGCACCACTTTCTTGTCAAGAGAGATGAGAGATTACCGCTCCTGCATATCGGCCCCTGCTATCATGCTAGGCAATCGAGATACTATCGACAGTACAGCGATCTCTCCTGCTCACTGTCCCGGCTCCCAGATTGGGCCCTGGGCCCGATGGTACGCTGTTCGGCCATAGTTCCCCTCTTGTCCATTCGACACGAGCCGCCTCGTCTGCCACTCGGCCGCTGGTCGCCACCTCGTGGTTGGCTATTAGTGGGCGGACAGTCTGACAGCATGCGCTGCGACACGGTGCCGTGGGTGATCTGCCTCTGTCCCATCCTGTTATCCAACGTCTCGAAACATCGATTGGGGACGTCTCTGTCCTGTCGTCGTCACCCACCGCCGCGTGCGGGTGGGCATGCCCTGCGTTGTCACCCTCCTCCACCTGGGCCCATCTCGTCCATCTCGCTCATCTGCCCGCCCCAACCTCCGCGCGAGATCACGCACACGAGGGAGACGACAGGGGAGACGGCGTGGGGACGGGAACGACACAGAGAAGCTACCCTCGGGTTTTGGTCGCGCGGGCAAGCTGTCTCCGGCCGAGCCCAGACAGCCATGTTGCCTTGAGCTCGGGCGCAGAAAACTTTGCGATCTCCCGCGGATCTCAACGCAACATATCTACCTGCCACAGCACCACAGCACAGCGCAGCAGAGCGCGACACGGTAGGGCCAAGGGGGAAGGGCTGCTGCGACCTTGCCAAACTCAACCACGTTCCATCTATTCAAGATCCATACTTTGCTACCCTCGGCGCCGGCTCAACGCTCGCTAGTGGCTGCGCCCGGCTGGATGCAACCGGCCTCTCGCGGTGGTGTTTCTCCTGATCACGAGATGCCTCGAATCCTACTCAGGGCCACACGTTGGGTGATGGGGTCCATACCGCGCCGTACCGCGCCGTACCGTACCGTACCAGGCCTTTGCTTACCACTCTTGCCTGACTTGCAGCACCGACTGTGACCTTGGAGGCCACCTGCTGCGCGGGTCCCGCATAGCAAATCGGCATCTCCTTTTCTGTGCCAGGTGCCCAGACCCGCTTGCGACGGGCAGGCCCTGAGGACCCTTGGGACAAATGTTGCCGTTCTCGTCAAAGTCCCACATGGACGACGACAACACAGTGACAGGCGTGAAGGCGGACAGGCAGGCAGGCAGGCAGTGATAGAACCAGCAGAGCTGACAGGAGAGGAGGAGGATGAATTATCCACGGCATGCTGATCCATGGCTAGGCTCCTCCCCTCCAACAAGCCTGACCCTGTCCCATAACATCAGCCTTATGCTATAAGTGCGTGAACATGTACTGTACGGGTTGCGGATAGATACCAGGAACAGGAACACAGCTCACTGCTGAGGCCAACAAGCCCGATCAAACCCCCCCTCCCCCCAAGACCCCCCTGGGAGAACCTTCTCCCCCACCTCACGCCAATCTGTCCTGTCGCGGTACTAGCGTGTTGCAGGGTTTCTTGTTTCTGCTTCTCTCAGATTGCCCCGGTTTTCCTCCCATCGACATCTCATGTGCATGAGCAGGGAACAGGGATTTTAGATATCGGTGAGGCGCCCGTGGTCCCCCCGGCACGGTGTCGTGGTGCGTGCCTGTGGTGCAGGCGGGCGGGGGGGTATTGGCCATGTACCTTTTCCCACCTGTACTTGTGCGGGTACATCGGTACACGGTACGTACCTCTCAAGGTTCCCTGCTGCGCAGATACATACTCGGTCTACTTTATTACCTATCCAACAGCACTGAGCATGGGGACCGCAAAACTGCCCAGATGGGGTGGACTGCACTGGACCGTCCGGTACTGTGGACTTTATCTATTCCTTGCTGGACGTGAGCGACCTTGGGCCTTGCCCCAGCGCCCCAAAACCAGACAAATCGCACCTCGAGTTTCTGATCCCAGGCCTGTCTTCCCTCTTGTTTATTAAATCTTAGCCGTGTATCCTTTTCGTCGGCAGCTTGGACAAGTTGCCCCTTCCCCTCTCTGCAGCCAGTTAATGGTAATTATTATTATTATCGATGTGATCCCGCCCGTTCCTCACCTCTGGCCTGACCTCTGACCTTCTCCGACCTCTCTGACCTGCCACCCCGCCAGCGTGCCTGCCTCGTCCACGCCCGCTCCTGCGCTGCTCACTGTCCGCCAAACCACACATCCAACCCCTTCGATCTGGATCTGGATCTGGATCTGGATCTGGAATCGGATCTGGCGCCTTTCCCACACGTGGCAAACCCACATCGACAACCGTCTTTTCAGTCCTCGCCCACCCCGAATCTGGGCTCCCGTCGCCCTCAGCAGCCGTGGTTGCGTTGACTCGACTACGTCAGGGTTGCAACTGCTCTCTGCACCATCGCAACCTTGGAAGGAGGGCCCCGCATACGAGTCGGGCTGCATTCTCAAAATCACCATCGAGCGGCAGTAGATCCATTTTGACTTTGTCCCTTGGCCGAACCTTCCCACCCGCACGATCCGTCGTGATTCGCCTGAAACTTTCGAAGGAACTGCTACGGCTACGCACACGACGCTTCATTCAAACGCTGTTTTGCTCCCGACCTGCGACAGCCACATTTGCGCATACCTGGCCAAGACACACACACACACACACAAACACACACACCAATCCCCCGTTCCTCTCACATCCTGGTGACCGCAACTCCGGTTCCTCGCTCCGCTGCCACTAGGACCTCCCAACTCGCGTCGCAACCGTTCTTTCCTTGGAAGGCTAACCGCCTCCGCCCCGGGATATTTCACCTTCACCACCCGACCGCCCACCGCCTGTCGCTCAACTGACTCACCTTGGTTTAAGCAACGATCTCCCGCTGGCTTCGTCAAAAACCTAATCTGTGGTCCGAGCTGTTACCCACTACTCGCGTTGGATAGCGCTGAAGTTCTCAACACCACTCACCACTATCTCGCTCTTGAGCCTCACCCGGGAAGACCTCCGAGAGAAGCTTTTCGGGCTTGTAACCTCCCGTTTTTGCAAGCACGCCACACCTGGGAACTAAAACTCTGTGTGTTTGACGAGAGCGCGTGTGTGTGTGCGTGAAATTGCCCGCCGCCTACCGTTCAGCCCTCTTGCAAGGCGCTGGCTTTCCGATAATTACGGCCGTGATTTTCTCGCCTGGTCAACCTCGCTCGCATTGAACTCTGACAGGAGCTTACCAACCGGGCCCGCGGCAATCGGAGACCAGGTATCCATCTTGATCGAGTCGGATCGACTTGCGAGATCAAGCAGTGCCCCCTTAGTCATTGCAAGCTTTGCATACTCCTGCAGCGTGGATCGTTGCGCCGTCAGATGAATTAAGCTGGGCACGTCGCATTCAAGCGCTGGGGTGTTGACACGACTGTCTTGATCCTGTCCCGTTATGGAATTGGGCAACACTGCTGGCAGGCAAAGGTGTGGAAACTCTACTCATATATCTCATGTACTTCTCGATCCGCTCTGTCTAACACAAAAACTGCAGCGGTCTCACTTCTGCCAACCACTCTGACCCTTACCACCACCGATCCAGAGGCTCTTGGGATAGACCATACAAGGAAGGTCCGGCCATGGCGACCGCAACCTTGCTTAATCCTGCGCCTCACTACCAATCCCAACAACCTTCGTACCCGTCCAACTATTCTCGCTCAGCTGCTGGCTCAAACATGCCCGGCATCATCTCCCCCGTGGAGCCCAGGAGGAGGCCCGAAGAAAATGAGCCCCAGCGGCAGTCCTTGCCATCGATATCGGAGGTGATATCAGGCACAAAGCCGCCAACTTCTGCATTCCCACCATCTCTCTCGACATCGGTCCAAGGCGCACCGAGCCTGCCATCGCCCTTCACATCCTCAACGTCTTCTCGGCCATTCGCCGACCTGTCACCTCAGGACAAACATCCTTCACCAAGATCGTTACACAACCCAGCATCCTTCCCCGCAAGGAGCGAACCGATGCCCCCATTTTCCGACCCCTCCAGGGCCCCATTGTCCAGCAGGCCACCGGCACTCGCGCCAGTCAACACTTTTCATCCTGGAGCACGGCACTCTCCCCCTCCTTTGAAGGCCGAGTCTCACCCAGCCGAAAGGCAGGCAGAGGCACACAGACTAAATGGGTCGTTTCCACCATCAGCCGCAGAACAACAAAACCTCCCTTATGCACAGCAGGGCCAGCTCCCTCCCGGGCAACTGCCCCTTTCGGCACATCCCATGTCTCCTCGGTATCCTGGTCACTCACTTCCCTCACCTTTTGATGGTTCGCGGTCATCGATGCATGAAGACTCAGAATACCTGAGGAGAGAAAACAAGTACGAGCAGACGCTGAGCAGACACTTCGAGGCATGGCAATACCAGGAGTCGCTTGCCAAGGTACGGAGCATCGCACCTGGACCACCACGGGACCAAATGCTGACTATGTAACTAGATTGCGTCCGGGTCACGGACCATTTTCAACTTTGCAGATGCCTACGGCCGCTGTGCTGCGGAAGAGCAAGGCCCTGGCTCACACCCTATGCCCACCCGGCTACCTTCAGAACGCGAAATCGGAGACATGCTGAACATGGCGGAGTGGATGCGCGGGATGTTGGACAACCTGCGGACGATGGTTCAGCAAAGCGTTGTGATGAACGACCGGGCACGCGAGGCTAGCCGGGGCAAGGGACCCTACGAGGACGAAGACATGGCCATGTACGGCGACGGCATGAAGTCTGCTTACGAGATGGCCGGTGTCAAGAAGCGGAGAGGAGTAAGCGAACGCGGGCCCCTGACCCGAACAGGAACGTAAACTAATCATGCGACAGCGTGCTGCTCCTCCTGGCCGATGTCACAGCTGCAACAGGATCGACACACCAGAGTGGCGCCGTGGACCCGACGGCGCGCGAACGCTTTGCAACGCTTGCGGCCTTCACTACGCCAAACTGGAGAGAAAGAAACAAATCGACGCCAAGAACATACGCCCCAGGCCGTCGGTTGAAAGAGGCTAGCCCGCGCGAGGCGGGATTTTAGTTGCCAGGAACAGCCCTGACAGAACTGGGCCAAGAACATGAGCGGCCATCCTGGAGACGACGCATCATGAAGAATTCCACACATCATGTATGCGCCAACATCTTTTGACGTCGCGGTTTCAAAAAGTCGCCGAAAAAATAACAGCATCTGCCAGCGAACTTACGCCGGCCACAATCACTACCAAGACCGGAGGCATCTCGAAGAAAAAGGAAAAGGCTCGGGTCACATTTCGCAAATTTGAGGGTGGGGTTTGGGAGGGAAACGCCTATATCATCTCACAATGTCTCATTTTATACCCAAATATATCAGGTCGGACACGAAGGATACGCAACAAGATCCGACCAGTACATTTCATTTCCCACGACAACACCGGAGGATTTTGTAAATACATCAACAGAGTCCGTCAGCTCTGGGAACCGGACCGACTGCCGCGAGGTTATTTTCTTTTTTCGGGGAGGTATATAAGTGGCATGACTGAGGCGTTTTGTGAGAGCTGCTCTATGTGATGTTCAGACGTCATGAAGCTGTTTTTGTGGGGAGTGTCTCTTGCTCTTTTTTCTGCTGCAGGACCCCTTGGCAGAGGCATGTACCTACCATCATCATCATCGTTATCATCATCAGGTTTTGCTAGAGCGATATAAATCAACCGCACAAAGCATATTCTCTCTTTCCGTGCGTGGCCAATGCAGTGCCGGACGAACATCAGTCAATGGCGCCAGAGAGGAAAGTGTCAAACTCGCACACTTTGGTCCCCGTAGCCTGAGCCGTGGTGAAACCGCCCCTCGCAATGCCAGTCAGAAAGCCAGCCCATGGATAACAGGGAAAAGAACGACACGGGACGGAACTCTGCCCAATGATGGGCGGCCAAGAGATCTGGTCCATCTGCCGAATGCTGGGATGGCACCCGATCTCATCTAAGTCATCGTCAGGGCAAACACGCGCGCGTCGTTTGCCTGATTCACAAATACTTGGGAATAGTGCACGCGCGCGCGCTATAGACGGGACGGGGCCAGATCGACTTCCCGGCGCCGAGCTAAGGGGGCTGTCAGACGGCGCGATGGCCGGGGGCTAGTTGGAAGTCGGGTGTTAGTACTTTTTTTTTCTTCGTTTTTTTTCTTTCCCTGTTTCTCTTTTTCTGGTACGCTAGAGATGTGGACGCGCACCAATCCGCCGCTAGTGCTCAACACCACGAGATGACGAAGACCTGAGGGGGATCTGTGTTGACGTGACACTGTAAGTGCTTGTGTATCTGTACACATGCCAGAACGAAACAATTGATACGCATGACCCGCGAAATCCACCTGGAGCCTAACACGAGCAGTATCCAATTCCCTTACAGCAGGCGTGCCGGGACGAGATTGCGACAAGCGACGCCACGCCCTGGTACCTGCGAAAGAGGGCATACACGGACGAGGCAGACTACCAAGTCCATTGGATGAGACACAAGTCGAGGCCCAATAAGACGAGGAGGCGCTGGCACCTCCGGCCCCTTTCAGCTTTCCATGTGGCCCATCTCTGACAGCCCAGACATCAGACGTGCCATACAGCAGAGATTAAATCTAAGATATCATCCAGCAGCTGACTTTGGCCCGTGCCTTAGCTCTCCGGCTAGCCTCGCCCATCCCACGTCACGCCCTCTCGGGACTTGGGAAATCTCGCCATTGTCTCTCCACGATGCTCCCCTGTTTGCCGCGCTGGCAGAGATCAAAAATCGTAAGATGAGCCCCCTCAGATAAAACGGCCCAGCCGGGATCACCAGGCCAAACCCAGCCTCGTCAAGGGCAGGGCAGGGCCGTGGCAGCTTTGAGATCCGACATTGGACACCCGTCTGTCGGCAGAGTCGTCCGTGCAACCCAGAAAGTATATTTCTCGGGACTGACGAACCCCACAAATGCCTGCCCCCGTGTAACGTTTTGCGACCCGATATGGCGAACACATGATGGCGAACACGAGAGAGAGATCGCGATGGACACGGACGCGCCGGATCGCCTCGAGAATAAGTACCCACCTTTGTCGCCTTGCGCCTTGCGGGATGGGACGAGGTCCCCAATGGCAGAGCCCAATACCGGCCTGACATGCACAGTCAGGGGGATCTAGTGATTCATCTACTGCTGATGGGTGTGGGCCGGCAGACGGGTTCGAGAGGAGGGGAGGGTGGGCCAAGGTTTTTTGAAGACAACAATTGGCATTATACTTTGGGCGTGAAACATGGGTAGGGCCCAAGAGCAAAAGTGTAATATCGAGATCACAATCTCGATAAGCGTTCCCGCACCTTGCATATTAAACTCGGCCGATATTTTCTTTTTCCCTTTTTTCATTTGTCCTCCAGTGGTTCATCAGGGGCAAGGGTGCTCGGGCTTTGTTAATTGGTCCCTCGGTGGTTTTTCTGTCCTGCATCGGCGTCCCGATCCGCCGCGAGTCACACTTTTCGCGACACCTTTCTTCAGCCCTATCTACGTTGTGTGCACACGAGAGAAAGGGACGGTAGGAGTGGCCAGGAGCCCTGCTGTCGGCACATATGGGACAAGGGCATCTCGTATCTGGTTGCCGTGTGCGTGCATCGCCACTAGGCATCTGACGCGCTGTCCGGACATCTCTAGATCTATCTGCCAGGGAAGGGGGGGGGGTGTGCTGGCCTGGGGCCTACTCTGGCCTGCTTGCTATGTGGTGGGCTGGGATGGGCCGGGTTTGATAGATTTGAGTTGCGTTGCGGTGTGACGTGCTACTGAGTAGCTGCCATTTCGCTCGGATGCTGCATCGTCGACGACAAAGTCTATCTCGCATTCCGGCAGCGAGTCATGGGGCAAAATCCAATTCCCGATCGGGCGACTTGAGAAGGCGCTGCAGAGCTAGCTTGGGCTGGCGAGTGCCGAGGGGAGGTGAGGTGAACTCTGATGAGGCTTTTCATTCATCCTTTTCCGCTTCATGCAAGCATGACGTGACCTGGTGAGCTTACACACTTGTAGCGGCCAAGGAATGGGATCGAGGGCATGAGGATGGGCGTTTGTGTGGGTTTCATCCAGAATCTAATAGGGCCAAGAGGGCAAAGGCGCGTTGGGTTGGTGGGTGTGAATGTGGATGGATGTGTAGGAGGGCTGCTTGGCTGGCTGGCTGGCTGGCTGGCTGGCTGGCTGGCTGGCTGGCTGGCTGGCTGGCTGGCTGGCTGGCTGGCTGGCTGGCTGGCTGCTGCAGAGTTGAAAGGCTTCATCGACCAAGTGCCGTCCTGTTCCCCAGATTGCTGGGGGCCGGGTTGCAGCCGCGGTGGGTCCGACCGTGGTCGCTCCTTCTGGCGGAGGGCTCGGCCTGCCAAGAGTGGACGTCTACGTTACGTCGTGTGCTCCCTACACACCAGCGCTGGTCCCTACCTACTCAGGCTGACCTAAGGTACTCAGCTGGCCGTAGCTTGGTCTGGTCTGTTCCGTCCATTCCCATGCACGCCATGTCGCTGCGCTGCGGGACCTCGATGCAAACATCCAATCGCCTAGGACCTATCAACCCATCATCCTCCCTCCAATCTCAAACTCTATCGCAACTCTATCTTCCCCGGCCCCGGCCCCATCGCTTGACTAACGAAATGAAGAATAGATGCCTGATGCCTGGCCGCCCTCAACGCTGGTGCCGCTCCCTCGTTCATGCTTGCTCGCTTGCTTGCCTGAATTGACCCTCGTAACATCTACATCCCGCATCGCCACCCACAGTTCCTCCCGCCTGCCGAGACGACTGTTCGACGGCTATCTAGATATGGTGGATATGCCTTGCTATCGGACCACGGCACCAAAGCCAAGCTTGCTGTGAGCCCTGCGCTGGCGACAAAGGAATCGGTTGAAACTGTCGCAGCCTACCGTCAGGGTCGGGGTGCGCTTGTAAGACCTGACCTGTCAGGCGCGCGAGAGAAGAGACCAACCAGATCACAGTGTGTTTGAGGCTTTGAGTGCCTTCCCCGGCGGCACTCTCCTGCCTTAATCCTCCAGTGCTATGATGAGTCTGTCTATACACACTGCACACCCAAGGTGACGAACGAGTCACTTCCTATTAGGACTAGACTGTATTGAGGTGAGAGCTGAGCTGCACTCTATGTACACGCGGTGCCTGTGCACCGCAGGGCGAGATCTGGGGGTGACTTGCAGGAAATCTGGGGGTGACTTGCAGGAAGTTTCCGGGCGCGCTTGCGAGGAGCTGAGCAAGTCCCATGTCCAGCTCTGCTACCTGGCGTGCGTAGGCAGGCCATCAGCTCGGAAACTCTTTCCAGCCAGCGTTTGGCGCGGGAGCGGGCTCGCATCGCATCGCATCGCCAGAACACGACACAAAAGCAATGCAAGACACCACACGCCCAGAGGGCCGAGCCGTGGACACCCCAGCAGCGCGCCCGGCCTCCCTCCCTCCCTTTCCCCAGACGAACCACCCCGCCGCGCGCCGGTGGGCACCCGCATGGACGGGATGGGGTTCGGATGGGGGAGAAGCTGGCGAGTGCAAGATGCCTTTGTGCATGGAATACAGACGATCATCTGCAGCGATCTTTTTCAATCTCCGAAACGAAACTCTACCTGAAGACGCTCCGGCTTGGTCAGAACGGCACATGGGTTGCAGCAGGCAATCCCAAGAGGACGGCCGCTTTCCGCTCCTCTCCACGCGGGCTGCCGCTGCTTGCTGCTGCACATTTCCTTACCGGCCAGGCAGGGCAGCCGGTCTGCCCCTTGACAATTTAGTTAGTCCAGGTCATCCTTCTCTGTGCTTGGTCCTTTTCTTTTCTATTTCCAATCTGTCGTATTGACGCTGTACAGCTGCAAAAAGACTATGCTGTGTTGTGCTGTGCTGTGTCGTGCAATGCTGTGCCGAAGGGCAGGAGCTAACACAGAAAAGGGACATGTTGATCCAGATGATCCAGATGGGCCTTCCACCCTTGTGGTACAAGACAGATCTGTATTCACCATCATCGCACGCAGAGGCTCCGTTGCAGCTCAAACTTTACAGACATTCT